GAAGTGCTTTCAAAAATATCACGTAAGGAGACATTTCTTTTAAGGTTTTCCAATTTGTTAATAGTTGTGAATTAGTTGCGTTCCTTGTCTTTCCTTGATTAGTGATTCCAGTGTTTGGTACTTAATGAAAACTGGAGAATACTAATTAGAATTTGAGTTTTCTTTCAGGGTGAGCACCCCAAGTATTTCTATTGAAATGCCTACAAAATGTGTCAAGATCAGGTTATCTATTGGTATATAGAGCAGTAGATGAGATGTAATAATATTTCAGGCTAGAGATTTAATATTGTTTCTTTACTGTCATTAATGGAGACAAACATTGATCCATGTTTGTTAGTTGCCATCATTTGATCAAAAGATGATTTTATGTAAATTTACAAGAAAAGATGTTGCCATATTGAATAAATTCCATGTTTTCATTGTATTTATTTTACAGCCATACATTGCTTTCCTCTTGTTGGTATCTTCCATATTTGGTATACTTCTCTCTACCAAGTACAAATACATGCACAATGATTCTTACTAAAGTTGAATTCTTCTTTCATCTTTTTCCTACCATATGACAGTGATCAAATCTTTTAATCAGTTGATATTGCTGAGTTAAGTACAAAGTCACTCAATATCATGTCAGTTATGTGCCATGCGTTATACAGATTTTTTCCCCACAGTAGGTTGCCATTTCATTCTGCCGTAGACCAGTTGCCATCCAAGGCTATAGAACCCAGTCTGTCCTGCTATTTACCCATAGCTGGAGGGAGAAGAGGATTCATACCTTTCCCAAGGGCATTAGCACGTAAGTGAATGTAATGGATTCAACTGGAATTCAGACTTGGCTCTCTGATTCCTCAATCTGAGCCTCAATATCATACTCCTTACAATTATGGAAAAGAAAAAAAAAACACTTTAAATGTTACTTACTGTTTATTTTTCCTTATGTGGTACAGATAGTTTAAAATTTTACATATATTCAGTTTCGGTTTCAGTCACATTCCTACCACCATAAGGTTGCCTCTCAGTGTCTTTTCTATAAATACATTCATGATAATTGTTCAGATGAACTCTTCACTATGGTACCTAGCCTTTTTGAATTTAAGCGCGGTACTAGACTGCCGTTAAGATCTCATCAATTGACAGTTGAGTTGGCTTGATGTAGCCATAAATTCTATACTAACAGTTCCTTTTCTCATACTTCTCACTTGTGGAACTCCTTTCTGGCTCCATGCTTTTCAGCCAACTTTAATCAGCATAAATTTAAATGCAATGTCAATCACTATCTACTGTCCTCCTTTGTGTCTTAGTGGCTTTTCAGCACCCCTTTTTACAAGATAGTAGTTATCCATAAACAGTTGCAATTTAACAAGCACTGATCCATTTTAATAAAATATGAAGCTGTTATAAAATGAATCTAAAGGATACGGTTATTTTTCCTACTATGTTTAACAAATACTGAAAAAAAAAAAAAAACAAAATCAGTAAAGAAATTTGGTTTCAGTTCATAGCTAGAAATACTGCTTCTGTTCTTGTAAAATTGGTGGTATTCCTTTCTCTGTGTGTTCTTTCAAATTATTTTTTTTACTTTTAAAATATTACAAGATTTGTGATGTCATATATTGTAAATATATTTTCAATGCTTGAACCTACGTGCATATGAAAACAATGTGTGTCCCATCACCCCCAACATTTGAATGTCTTTTGGTCAACGTCAACACTTGCCACCATTACAGCATTGTGTTTTAATGATATTGAAATCTGATAATATCTCAGTAATTAATAAATATTTTTGCTTAATTAAGTAATTGTATCTGTTCACACCCAGACTGCTATATCTTTAAAATCTGATAGTGGAAAAATTCTTGCTACTTTATTATTTTAAAAAAATAAAATAAAAAAAATTATGTTGATATTTTTTTTTTTATATTGGATAATCTGTTATATATTCTTTCTTTTATTTTCCAAACCCAGTTCTCCTTAGATGAAAGCCTAGAAACACAGTAGCCATTATCCAAGCTTTGTTCGCTTGTTGATGTAATCAGTATTATTATGTAAAGCAAATCTAGAATTATGTTGACATGGTCAGTAGAAGAATAAAAAAATGCAGACATTTTGGAAAAGAAAAAGAATCTTAACTGTTTGTAAAGGAAAATGTATTTTTTTTTTTATTCTGAATAGTTGGGAACAGAAACTGAAGATGGAAATAGAAAATTAAATGGCTTTTTGAAGGTCTAGCCTGCAGACATGTCTACACATAGAGAGTGTATAAAATTAATATATATTTGCAATTATTTACATTTAGACTATCGTCTTCATCTTTGTTGTTATTATCACAATGCTTCAACCATTGTCCCTTCTGACCTTGATGAGGTGCTTCTTCATGACTTTCAGAGAATTTAGAACTGAACCCTTTATTTAATATACAAGGTGAGATTGTTATCATTCTGCCGTCCATATCGAGGAATATCTCCTCTTGTTCTTATTTAGTACTGCTCGGTTATTACTTGCTCTTTTTGCACTGAGTCTGTGTCTGCACTACCCAGCCCAGGGATTGAATTTACAATTATTATGTCCCCATATTCTAGAACCAATACTTTAATCCACTCCTGTGTAAATAATGATAACTCTTTAGCCTAGAAATTCAAACAGAAATTTGCAATTCTTTTGTGGGAATGGCAGAAAACACTTTAGCATAAAAGGAGGGGCCATTGCTTATCTGACCACCTCTGATTTTAAAACTGTTAAAAAATTAAAACACCATTTATCAAATTTTAATTTTTTTTTCTCTTGAAACTGCTTCCCTAGTTTAATTTTATTTAAAAATGGTGTGAGGAACATTTAATATAATGTTTGACAAGAATTTTCAACTTGTGGAGTTTATTCTGTATTTTAGAAAAAACAATTTCTTCCTCAAGACTTTTTCTGTTAACTCTTCATCAAATCTCAGTTTTTCTTCAGGCCAATAAAGTATAAAATTTTACTTTCTTCATTTCCTCAATTCATTGTTGAGTTTTCTTATCACAGTGTATCATCCTTGAAGAAAAACGAATGATTTTTACAGCCCCCCCATGTAAGAAAGGGGCTGCTTCTATTTTGTTCCTTCTTAATGAAAAAATTTATTCATCTGACAGTTTTATTTATCAAATTAAAGTATATTTTGTCATAGGTACATCAGATTACAAACACAAATTTTATTTTAATGTTCTTTTTTTCTTAGATTATTGTTCACCCAAAAGGCCAAAAAGTCACTCAAGGTAGTGTTACTAAATGTAGTTATTTTATGTACATAAGAATTGTAGATTATGAGGACATGAAGCATAGTTGACTTGAAGTAATTCTTTTGAAAGGATTGTAGTTGTTAGGGAACAGTCCTCTTGGGAGTCTGTTCCACAAAGCAGCTGCTCTTGGGGAGAAGCTGTCTTAATGGAACTTGTTTCTTAACAACGGAATACGAAAGGACTGAAGATGACTCACTCCTGTGTATGTGACATGGTGGGTCTTGGCTATAAAAGTCTGAACTGGTGGAACTAGGAAATGAAGCTCAGCAAAGTAGTGACAATTTGCTAGATAACCTAACACCTTGGACAAGGAAAAATCCCAAACAAGAAAAAAAAAAAAGAAAGACCAAAAGACAATCAGCTACCTACACAGTAAAGTGCTCAATGCCCAGACTAGCATGACTTGAGCTGTCCTTTGTTAAGTGTGTGTGTGTGTGTATATATATATATATATATATATATATATATATATATATATATATATATATATATATATATATATATGGATAAATTGTCTAAATTGCACAAAAATAAAAATAACATTGACATCTCATTTTAACAGATATATTTACCAAAATTACACAAAAAAATACTAAGGAGTAAATTTATTCAATAAATTCACCATTTACCACAGCCTCCAAACAACTTCAGAATCTACTGCAACTCTTCTGGACAGTTGCCTTGTTTATGTTGGTAAATGGTGCCATAATCCTTGCCTTCAGTTCATCTTTGATGTTGCAAGGAGTTATGCTGGTCTCACACTCATCTGCTCCCTACACATAATAATCTAGCAGGTTACAGTCTGAGGAGTTAGGTGGCCATATGTAAGGAGTAATGTGTTCACAGAAATTGTCTGACAGACATGACTAGGTTCTCCTGCTAGTGTGGCATAGTGCAGAGTCCTGTTGCTAGACATAGGGTCTTCCAGCAGCTACCCTCTTGAACAAGGGCAGCACTACTTCCTCATGGCACTTGATGTAGGCCTCCATGTTGAGTCTGAGGCTCTCACCAACAAATTCGGGAATTCTTTTCTTATCAGAATGATCAGTGATTTTTTTTTTCCAAGCTGCTATACCTTCATAATCACCATTAGACTCATCCAACTCTTTCTGAATCCTCTGCACTGCCCTCAGATTGACACCCAAACACTTGAAAATGTTTGTATTGAAGTTTCTAGCACGAATGCCAAGCAGTACAGCATGCCGTTTCCAAATTTCTGGTAGAGTGAATTTCATCATGGTGCTCTTTTTCTCACAGACTGTGCCCAACTTATTCTACTATACTGTGCAGTCAACAAAATCAGAAACAAGTAACACGCATGTGTGAAATTAAAAATCTAAAATGGCGACAATTTACCCATCACACCCTGTGTGTGTGTGTGTGTGTGTGTGTGTTCTACTTGAAGTTACTAGTTTGGTTTTTCAGTGGTTAAAAGTTTAAAGCCTGTTTGACCCCACTCTCCATTACGCCTTTAGAGTTTAGTCATTGAATTTCTATTTCTTCCTTGTTGTATCTGATAAGTGGTTATGAAAAATGACAAATTCTCTGTTGCAGCATATTATTAACTGGAATTGCTAGTATTTTCAAGATACACAACCTTTGATCTCTTTATTTTTCCAGACAGTTTCAGAGTTAAAGAAAATGATATTCATTGATAGAAAAGAAGACATGTCTTTATTTTTGTAGATGTTTTTTTGCAAATAACCCTTTTTTTCTCTTTTTGTTTCTCAGATCGAGCCCATGGTAAAGAATTCTCCCGGCAATTTGAAGATGCTTGTAACAAACTTGAAGATTATGTAGTGAGCCTACAAAAAGAAATAGACCATCGAACTGCTATGATAACAATGTTGGAACAGAGTGAACTCTTCTATGAGGATCAGTACAGAGAAGCCAAAATAGTGGCTAATGTAAGTAAAGATCTATTCTGTAGATTAATAGGATTTTCAAATTATTAGAACTTTGAGTATGGTGGATATTAGAAAATTGCATGTCCCATATGGAAAGAATGCCAAGATGATATTTTTTTTTTTTTTTTTTCAAACACACTAACACATCCGAGATACACTGATCAGTGCAACTCCTATTTGTAAACTGATTCTATTTGCATTATTTTTATCTGAATTTATGATGTGTAGAATTATTGTTATACACTGATTTATTCAATGTTGTTCTCATCTCATCTTAGTTACGTTTCAGTTATTGTATTTGACAATCCTTTTCAGGTCCCTTTTATATTTAGTACCATTTCAAATTAAACACTTTATTCAATCTATGGAGGTGGTATGCTAAAAGAGATAACTTGTATTAATTATTTCTTCTGTTATTTTGGTGTTTGTAATGCTACTGAACCAGGTATCAAACACACCACACTCACATGATAAACTGCAACCCTTTACATCCACACTAGGTCATTGTTTCACGTGCATAACCAAAATTTCTCATCTCAGAAATTAAAACAGAAATTATCAAAGCAGTACTTTGCATTGTAAAAGAATGGAAATGCAGACATCAGCAAAAATTGACATGAAAGTCAAACTCCTCTCATGTTCTTCTGCAGATGCCTAAAGCCGATTCCACCTGGCTTAGATATCAAAACAATTGATTCCAGAAGGGTGCCAACAACAATAGAAAAAAACTGGGCATACTCGGAAGAATCCTTCAAAGCAGGGGATAAAAAGAGTGAACTATTTAAGAAGAAAACTTGTTTCTAAATCAAATATTAGACTTTGATAAAACAAAAAAACAAAAAAAAAAAACCTCACAGAATCCAACAAGATCTGATCAAGTAATGAAGAACTGATAAGGCTCAAGGTATGCCAAAATAGACAAACTAAAATAGTTAAAAGTTCACAATAAGAGATTAAACAAAGTCCACTATCAACCCATGGAAATTTTTGTAAACCTTAGCAGTCACCAATTAAGTACCTACAAGAAAACAGTGGTAAACAAAAGTTTAAAAAATGAAGAGTCATGTAAAAGATTTGGGCCAACTGCATAAAAATGATTATACACCTTTTATTTTAGTAAGAAGTTAAGATTATATGCTTTTATCAGCAGTCAGTATCTGTGGATCTTCTTATGTGCCATGTTCCTTCAGGACATAGGCGATCATAACCTTCCACATCTTCCTGTTCCTTGTAGCTCTTAATAAATTTTGTCTTTTCACTATTTTTCACAGTTTTCCTCTGTCCCTCTTGCTCTCACTTTGTCTTGTGTGTATCAGATTTTCCAAGCCCTCTTTCCCCATTACGTGCCCCAGAGATTTCAACTGCCTCTTCCTGATGTTAAATATGAGTTGCCTTTTTGTTTCCATTTTCTCCAAAACTTTATTCAGTCATTACTCACATGTTCAATCCATGGTATCCTTAGCATTCTTCTGTAGAACCACATTTCTGTTGCTTCAAGTTTGTCCTGCATTCACTGCCATATAGGAGAACAGATATCACAATAACAGTTCAGTACTCTTTTCTTTGTTTCTAACAAAGCTTTTCTGTCTCTTAATGCTCTGCTTAGCTTTTGGAATGCATTTTTGGCTATCTTGATTGGAAAATAAGTTGTTGCATTTTTGTAGGTATCTTGTAACAGAAGACATGCCACTTTAAGCAGATAAAAGACCATCCCAAACTATTGGGCCGCTGAAAGATCTGAGATGTTAGTCATGATAATATGCAAATATCTGAGTAGGAATTGTTCCATCTTATGAACATGAGTGTAAGGTGCTTTGGCAAGTTATTATAGCTAGACATTAGCTAGCTTTTTTGACATTGAAATCCTGGCTAAAACCTCTACTGAAACAAAGACTTTGAAGAGGAAGAGATCTCGATGAAAAATAGCCAGGTGGCTGGGAATTTCCAGAAGCATTTTTCAAACCATTCAAAAGACATTTGCTACTACTGGAAGTGTTTTAATTGCAAAGAAAACAGGAAGACCACAAAAGTTATACAAGATAGATGAAAGAAAGATTGTTTTGCTCGGTAATCCAAAATTAACAGCCAGACAAGTGAGGAGTGAATGCAATCTTAACAGAGCATTTTCAGTTGATACACTATGCAGAGTATTACAAAATAAACAACTTGAATGGGTGTATCGCAGCAAAAAAAGACGTCATTAACTGAAAAATATCAGAAGATTGAAGTCATCAAAAGAACATGTAACAGAAGAAGCTGGAAAGTGGCAAAAAGTAATTTTTAATGACGAATGCAAAATAATTACATTCTAATAAAAGAGAATGTGGAAAATTATTAGTGGGTGAAAGAAACAGAGACCGTAAAATTTGGTGGTGGATTTGTAATAGTGTTAGTTTGCATTAAAAGCGATGGTAGAAGGAAATTGGTAAAAGTTGATAAATCCCTAAACAGCAAAAACTATACTAGTTTACTACAGTTTAATCTGCCAGACTACAAAGATGTAGAAATTTTTCAGCCTGCCAGTACTCCTTAACCTCACATCACATGCAAGAAAAAGGTTTCTTGTGAATGAAGGTGTTCAACTTTTGGAAGACTGGCCAGCACAAAGTCCTGATGCCAATATAATTGAACCCTTGTGGTGGGAACTGAAAGAAAAAATGCTCCAACAAAAACCATGCAGTCTCCAAGAGCTTTGGGATTAATGCCAAGAAGAATGCTGAAAAAATTCTCAGTGAAAAAATTTGGAACTTGTTCTGTTCAATGTCAATGAGGCAATTATTCAAGTCAATGCAGCAACACTAATTAATAAAAGAAAAAAAAAAGAAAAAATATGAAAGGTGGAACTTTTGCAGGTGTCGCAGTATTTTTGCCTGCCGTTTTTTTTTCAATGTCCCTATATTCCGTCATCTACCATACAGGATTAACCAAAATGAAATAACTTCTTTTCTGGTCCTCAAAGTTCATAACATGCACTGAGAAATGGATACTGCTTACCACTCTTGATTTTGGGCAAAATTAACAAAAGTAATAAATTTACTAAGGCAGCCCAAACCAGTGTAATTGGATGTGATCGTACCAGTGGTGGAGCCAGTTTCGAAAATGATTCCCAAGGTCCAAGCAAATGAGTTGAAATAGAAAGCACTAGAGGCACTGTCTCAAACTGATCATTAGAAGAGAACAATGTCTACCCTAAGTCTGCAGAGTTAGACAAGCATAATCATAATGCCAGAAGACAAGGCACTTAAATGGCATTGATAGACAAATACCAATTTTAAACAAAATTGGAAAGCCTAGATGGTAATGCTAACTGCTGCAAACTAAAGAAATGTATGGTCAACCAATAACAAATAGAATTCTATGGGAAAAAAAAACAAAAAGGAAAATTCTACCCATTTTATGGAGACAAATACAAATGTTCCTATTCATTCCATCGAAATGGTAAGTTTGGATAGCGGAAGCCTATTTACCAAAATTTTCTAAAGAGGAGGACCAAACAATGATTTAGATTTGGGATATCAGTATCCTGCCAACATGTTTATTAGGTTATCTATGTACAATGTATTTCCATTTCGGGTTTATATATCAGCATGAAGAAGGCATAACTATATGATCGCTATTGTCTCCCGTGATGACATATGTATTTATAGAATACGTGGAGGAAAGAGGTTTTAGAATGACGCTATTGATATCAACTATATGGCTGAAATGGATGATACCTTCATATTCTGGCTTTACTAGGAAGATGTATAAATACAGTTGGACTGTATGAATTTAATAAGATTTTGCATACAGTTAATGCTAGAAAAGGAAATTGATAATGAACTGGTCTTTCTGGATAGACTAATAACTCACACGGAGTTGATGTTAAAAACATCCATATATCATGAACCAATATTTACTATCTTCATTCACATAGATAAGAATCATTCCTTCTTTACAATATTGAGTCAAATTTATAAGTGGCATCCAAGGGACGTGCCAAAAGTAGTTAGCCAATGTTAGAAACACACTTTAAGGTAATGGCTACCTTGCAAGAATAACATTGGATATAGGAGAGAAGTAGTTTAAAGGTAGATGGACAGTAGTTTGTAAACTTAGACAGTCTATCCGAATATATCCAATGCATGGAGGGAAGGATTGAGAGGATCTGTAATGCATACAACATTAGGACAGTATTTAATAACAGTCCCACCCTTTACACATACCTGACTAAATCCAACCCAGTATCAAAGGATATATAAACTGCTATAGTCTACCTGGCTATATCTAATGCATTGAGGAAAGGATTGAGAGGATCCGCAATGCATACAACATCAGGACGGTATTTAATAACAGTCCCACCCTTTACAATCTGGCCAAATCCAAGCCAGCATCAGAAGAGAGCAGAATTCTGTTTAATGCACTTCATGCAGTTGTGGCAAGCTAAGCTGTAGTCATTGGAGAGGCTATGAAATCAGGTATGGCTGATCATTTGTGGGAGCTCTTGTTCAGAATCAAACAGACATTAGGTTTATACGGCAAAATTCCACCACCTGGTAGAGTGGACTAGTGGATGTAAGCATTGGTTAAGTGTTGCAGTTTACCTGGTGAGCATTAGTTCAATCTCTGTTCAGACAGTGGAATCTATATACTTTGTTCAGAAACCACATCACAAAGGTGAATTTATGAATGTCAAAATAACAGAAAAGTCAACTAATGCAAGTTATCTCCCTTAACCTGGACTGCAGACTAAGAACCATCTATCCTTGTGAAATGAATAAAGGGTTTGGTTTGAAATTTCATTAGAATTACTGAATATGATGGGCACCTGAAGTTTCTGTTTGATAATGCTTCCTCCTAATTCAATGATAATTCAATGGTAATTGTATTTCTACTATTGAACATTATTGCATGTGATGGTCCAAAAGACACTTTTCTCATTGAAAACCTACAAGGAAATGCTGATAAGTTCTTGACATATTTCCCAAAATTTGACCAAACATTAGAATTAATTTTGGAATCTCTTGATAAGGTCAATAAATTTTCAGCACCCTTTCCTATTTTCTATAAAGAACTTTTTCACAGGCACTTCAAGCAACAAGATGAGAAAATAAAATTTCATGTCAAGAATTTGGGAAGAAATACAATATAAAACAGGCCATTGAAAAAAATGTTTTCTTTCTGCAATTTATGAATATTTTGGAAATCTCTTTGCCTCAACATGCAAATGACCATTTTTTTTTTTTTTTTTTTTTTTTTTTGTCTTCAGCTGCACAAAGGCAAAATGAAAGGATAACTACTATTAATATAGATTTCAATGTGCATCAAGAACATGTCAACAAGAATTGTTTAATTCCCTTGCAAAAGAACGAGACAAGAATATTCTTCAACCTCTGTGTACATGTGCTGAAAATAAAATGGACAGAAACAAGTGAAGATGAAGAAATTATCCCCTAAAAGTGCTTAGAATTTAAACTTATTGAAGTTGTCAAAGATTTTCGTTTAAATGTCAATGCTAACTGGGAAAGAAACATCAAATTTGGTGTGTGTGTGTGTGTATATATATATATATATATACACACACACACACATGAACTAATTTTTAAATGCTGACATAAGAACAACCTAAATCTTACTAAATATATTTAGGAATAACTATATAGGAAGACTAATATTACATGATCTTGGTATTTTGTTTTTGGAAATGTTGCTATGCACACATAAGGGTGAACATATAACTGTATATATATATATAACTATGTAATTGAATTTGAACATTGATACGTCTTTTGATAGGTATATGTATATACGTTTATATGGAAAGATAGTCATGCATGTGTTAATTTTATGTATTGTGGGCCCATTTTTGGAGTGGGTGGGTATGGTTATGGATATGTATGTATATATACTTGTATGTATATAGATGAGCGTTTTTTTTTGTTTTTTTTTTGTAGTTATATGTATATATGGGTGTATGTGGGTACATGTGGATGTGTATGTATACAATTTTTTATAATTTCTATATATGTATGTGTGGGTATAGATGTGTATATATAGATGGGTACATGTATGTCGTTCAATAGATAGTGTATGTATATGAGTATAAATATAAGTAGTTGTGAGTTCACATATATATGGTAGAATATAGATATATTAAGGTAATTAAGTATGGATTTTGATATGTTTTTTGCATGCACGCACATGTGGGTGTATATATGTATATTTGTGTGTATGTATGTGTATATGTGTGTGGGTATATATGTGTAATTGTATGTATGTATATATATGTGTGTGTGTGTATGTAAATGTGTATGTATTTGTGTGTGTATGTAAATGTGTATGTATTTGTGTGTGTATGTAAATGTGTATGTATTTGTGTGTGTATGTAAATGTGTATGTATTTGTGTGTATATGTAAATGTGTATGTATATATGTAAATCTGTATGTATGTGTATATACATACACATATATGTGTGTGTGTGTGTGTGTAGATGTGAATATATGTGTATATATATGGATATATATGTGTGTAGATGTATATTTATGGATACAATGAATATTATAAAAGAAGGACTTACAGTTCTGTTATTAGTGTTTTATCTCATTTTCTCATTTAATATTCTCCAATTGGAAGTGTGAGTTTAAAATTCTTTATAATAGGGAGAAAAATTTTTTAAATTGATAATTTAATTTAAATTGAAATATATTACCCTTTAATAATCATTATTGATGATAAAATATTTAAATTGGAAAAATTTTTGATATTTAAGTAGATGTTAATACATGAAGTTACCTGTGTATTTCTGCACATGGGTACCTGTATGAGTGATTGAATATGTAAAGGAACGCGTGTATATGTGATATTTGCATAAGTTTAAATGTGTCAATACAGTATATGACAGAGCAAGATCTTTAATATTACCTTCAAATATTACCCCATACTAACTTAACTAAAATTTAAGTAAAAGAGATTACCTATCTAGAAACAGTCACAAGTTAAATTCATGAAAACAGATAGAGATATCAACTTAATAATCAATAAAAAAAATTTTAAGAGTTTAAAAAAAGATTACTAGAAGTAAACTTATATTTTCAAATAAAATTTTGTACTTTCTATGAATATTTTTCTAATCGACTATTTCATAGAAAATCCCCAAAATTTTAAAGAAAATTTAAATCACTAACAATCATCAAATTAAATTATTTGTAGACAGTCTAGAGACATTCAAATTTATATCAAACATTATAATCTTTATGAACCCCCAAAATAACACTTTCAAAGTAAAGCAAAATAACAGCGTCTGTTTCTAGCCTTTTTTTTTTTTTTTACAAAGAAAATTAGTGACATCTTCTCTTCTAACTTCCTTCTCTCTTTTTCTCTCTATGAGTTTTTTTTTTCTCTACCCCTTCGATTTCAATATATAACTTCCGTTAAGTTAACCGTTTAAATGTGTCATTATCTGCTAACTCACTCATGTCTTCTCTCTCTCCCCCTTCATTTCCTCACTTCGTTAATTTACACATTTAATACGGCCCGTCAAAAATGTGTAAATTTTATTTCCATTTTTTGTTTGGAAGTAAAGTCTGATGATCCGCAGTCCTTTTAAAAGGGCTGTGGTGAAATAATTTATTACATGGAATCTTAAAGTGGTCTGTTTTTATTTAAATTATGTATGTATATATATATAAAAACAAAAAAGCGACCTCCTACCTCTCAGAGATTGTATGATCAAGGGAAAAAATCAAAATATGTACAATCAACTTTAAATGAATATAATTTTTCAAAGAAATAATTCAGCTAGGATGCAATTATGAAATCAAAGTGATCATAATTATTTTTATTAATCTGAAATTTTGACATGATACCATGACTAAAAGTTTTTTATTAATGCAAATAAAAAATTTGGATGAAATGTGGCATTTACCTAAAGATTTTGAGACGTGTTGAGTACCTGTTGGGGAGTAAAGGTTTAGTAAGCTGAGTTTTAACAGCATCCTATCTGGCCTTGTGCTACACTCTGTGCAATGTCACATACAGATTGTATGAAACTAACCGTTTGACTTTTGTTGTAATTTTAAAACCGATTTTGATATTTACTTTGATTGTGAGCTTCTTTTTTCTTTGTCATGAACAGAACATCTAAATCCTTCTGTGTTTTGAACTTTATCTCATGTATTACATTGAAAAAGATGACAATGTGCAATGAGCAGAAATTCAGACTGGTAAAGTTACTGAAAAGGTTTGATGCTCAACAGTTTATGCTTGTTTCTTTCAGGCATACAAAAACTTTGGTTCCCGGGTGGCCATTGTGAAGAAGAAATTGGATGAGCTGAAGTTGACATTACCTGACCCACCCAGCCCAATGCCTTCACCCACACCAGATGCACCGTCACCTGGTAGTACTCCTCCAGCTGATATTGAGATGCAAGCGGATAACACAGAAGCTGTTGACATGGAATTGTCAGAGTCTGATAATGATACCGATGCTACTCGTAATATATTGGGTAAGTGTCTAAAAACCTGAAACCTTTATTATTGGATTATCTTCTATTGTTAAAGAAACTTTGGACAGGGACTACAATTTTTAACTTTGTTACTGTGGAAAGTAATTCTTTTTCATTGGCCTGGGTTTTTCATTCTAGATTCTTCTATTCTTTTGCAAGCTATTCGCCTAATTTATTCTGAGCAAATATTTGCTATAGAAGCAGTTTGATAACTTCTTCGCTCAGGTCAATTTTCTTTTATCTATTATTTTTAAATTTTGTTCGTTTGGTGCTTATTTAGTCTTACCACCAATTCAACCTTTGCTCCTCCTATTTATCATACCTTCTTGCAGCCATTTTTTTTTTTTTTTTTTCCAGTTTTAAAAATGATATTTCTTGTGATATTCTTCTTTGTACTATGCTGAGCTTATCAGTGGAACCTTGGTTCACAAATTTAATTCATTCCTGAAGGCCGTTTGTAACCCAAAATGTTTGTAAACCAAAACTATTTTTCCAATAGGACTCAATGTAGAGAAAAAAGTCACAGTACAATAAAATTGGGGGTAAAAAAACACAACACACAAATGTATACAACATGGCGGCAGACTCAGAAATTATTCCGTTCGGGTTACCTCAGTTTGGCAATGTTGAGAACCGAAATTTTGTTCCATAACCGATGCATTTTCATCTTGAATTTTCTGTTTGAGAACCAAGGTTGCACTGTACTTGTTGACCACTGTATTTAGTCACCAAATTTATGATACTCAAAAATAAAACCCATTTCTCATCACCTTGTCTAAAACAACAAAAATGAAGGCTTTTAGGTTTGATTATAATAATTTGATTTGATCTCATCAAAGTTTCCATTCATTAAATAGATTTAAAATATTACAAAGAAATAGATGGAAAAAAAAGTTTTGAAATATTCTTTAAGATTACAAACTTGTCTTTGACTACAACTTCCCTAAAGTTTGTTAGCATATGTGTCAATTTATTCCTTAACTAGTCCTTCATAAATCTGACACTGGAGTTGTTACTTCAATGAAATTATTTCCAGAAGAGATTATTAGTAAATGTCTTCTTTGAATGTGCATCACACACTTTGAAAATATAAGAAATAGTTCTTTGAATATTATTTTCTCTTATCAGAAATTTGAAAGATTCTCATAATTGTACTCATCATTGAAGCATTTACTTTGAATCCAGTGCAAAGCCATATTTATTGAGTTTTTTTAGAATACCATCAGCCTTTCAAGATGGGTGATTATCTCAAAATTCAGTATTTAAGGATTAATCCTGAATTAAAACATTTACTGTTTATCTGTCAAGTTAAAGTGTCAAATTAATGTTCATAAAATACAACTTATATTGAACATATATATATATATATATATATATATATATACATTTTTTTTTTTTCTTTTTGGGTCTTTTTATTTTGTTTTAATTCATTTCTTTTCTTTTCTTCAGAAGTTGTGAATGACACAGGTAAGACATATTTTTACTTAGATTTGTTTTCTTTCATTTCTATTTGCATGGACTCAACTCTGACTTACATATTTCACCTTTATCACTTGAAACACCTTAAGTCAATTGAAAATGAATTTCAGTACTTTATACCTGAATCACCTAAGTAGAAAATTCATGTAACCACTTGGATTTGTCTCTTTCCACCAATTCTCAGAAAAATTATTTGAAAATTAGTACCATCATGATGTAGTTTTCTTTCTTTTTTTCCTCTTATTTTATAAATTGTTAATTTTGGGGAGTTCTTCAAAAAAAAAAAACAACAAATTTCTCAATTAACAATGTGTTTGGATTTCTTTTTTTTTCTTTTTTTTTTTTTCCATCTTAACCCTTTGAACTGTTGGCCCACTGATGAGTCTGGTATATGCACTTTCACACAGCGGCTAATATATACCAGCCACCAAAGGGTTAAGATGAAATAACTTTTATTTCCTCTGCGATGAAATTCATGTGAAAAGGACAAAGAAGCTAAATTAATATTTATACTTTTTGCTTTCTGTCATTAATGAATGCTCAAACAAATATGTTTATGTAGGATGGCAGATGAATTGGACTTGTCATGTTAGGTATACAACCAAAGCTAATAGCCAAAATAAGTTGGCTGACAACATCAGCAATTGTCATGGGAAATAATTTCTTGCTAACAATGGGGATGACTTTAGTTGGAAAGATTTACTTAAAGGTCACTTTTGGTGGTCTTCACTCAGTGCCAAGTCACACTTTGTGTTTGTTGAATTTCTGATTATTTTCAAATCCTAATTATTACTGACCTTAAGTATTATTAATTATTAAAGAATCACACCTATGCCACTATGACTGATGGAGAAGAATACAAAAGAGTGAAGAAAAATGACTCTAATAGATCTTGAGTTATCTACCATGGACAAGTTTCTTATTTTCTTTCTCCTCCATTTATAAATAAAATATTACTCAAAAAATGAGTAGCTCAGTTGGACTGGAAATTCTTTTATTTGCCAAGTTAATGCATTTTAACAGTATTGTTTACAAAAACTGGTTTAATATGCTGTTTCTACTGTAAATCATTTGCCTATTATCCAGTTTACACGCCTCCCTTTTGAACAGGAGTAGAGGTTTATCCCTTGTTTTCTGTTTAGGATTGTGTATCCAGTTCCTTCTAAAGTCTTTTTCATTCTCATAACTCCTAAGCAGCAAGATAGTTTGTATCATTCTGATGAATGAGCCTGTATGTCTTGTATCTCGAATTTTTCATGATTATTCATTTTTCTAACATTCGATTTCAGTCACTTTCCCACTGACATAACTAAGCTTCCCTCTGCCTTTTCGCTATAACGTAGCTTCCCTCTGCCTTTTCGCTATAACGTAGCTTCCCTCTGCCTTTTCGCTATAACGTAGCTTCCCTCTGTCTTTTCTGTAAACGCTTTCATGGTAATTGTTCTGATGAACTCTTCTCTATCGTACTTAGACTGTGAATTTAAGCACATTACTAGATTAGCAACAAAGTCTCATCATTTTACAGTTGAAATGGCTAGATGTAACCAGAGGTTCTATACTAAGTTTCTTTTCTCACACTTCTTGCTTGTGGAACTCTCTTCTCACTTCCCAGTCAACTTTGACCTTCAAAAATTTAAATGCAATGTCAATTATCTTTTGTCCTCTTAAAATCTGTTCTTTTATTGTTCTTCTCCTTAATAATGTTTTTCTTATATTCCTTCATGCTCTGTAACCCCCTGCGTGTTAGTGGCTCAGTTGCTTTGCTTGGGGTGAAATGATAAATAAAAAAAAAAAAATTAAAAAAATAGTAGCAGTCTGATTATGAATTAGATCATCTGCCTTTATCTGTTTCTCATTTATATCAGACAAGAGCAGATTTTTATTTTCTCTGAAATTAAAAAGTAAATGAATGAAGAAGCTATTTAATTTTTCTGTTCTTCAACATTTCAAGGGTGGCTTTAAATTTTAAAAAAATATAAGTAACCAAGATGAAGATACTTGTTCAAATAATTTGAGAAATAAATAAAATCATTTGTCTTAATTTCAGACAATATTTTTGTTGATAGTTAAAAGATAATTGCATTAATCCAAAGGAACCATTCTTGATGCTTTAACAGGACAATATTTTTGTTGTATTCTCAGAATAATGTTTAAATATAATTTAATAAAACTAAATGAAAAATTATTTTCTTTATGCATGAGACATACTCTGACAGTAATAACTTGTTTATTTCCATGGAAACAACAGAAACGGCACGATGACGCCATTAGAGAGAGTATTTTCAATGATAAAATACTATTTTTCCACATTGTCATTTTTGCCAACAATGAACAAGAACGTGCATATTTTGCTTGTTGAAACAAAAAAAAAAAAAATATGCACCAATGAAGGAAAATCACTTGTTCATATACATTGCTTTTTTCATTGCTGACATGTATTACCTACCATTTAACTCTGCTCAGATCCACTATTTGGTCTCTGAATTTTCAGCAAGTATCAATGAATGTCAATCAGTACAATTTCTTTCCACATTGACATACCTCCACTTTCTATGCATTGTCATGTCAGATGTTATTTTGCCAGATTTGCCAGTCAGATGCTATCAGCAACATGGCAAAGAAAATATGGGTTATTGATGGGATAAGAGCCATTATTTTTTTTATCAAATCTCATGAACACAATCCATGACCTTTGTCAAAGAAAAAACAAGAATGGCCAAGAGTTAAAAATGTTTCAGATTATTCTTTTTCATCTCTGGTAAAACCTGAAAGAAAATATATCAATCAGTTAGAAGGAAATAAGAAAACCTCAAACCGGTTGCTTTGTACTTTTGAAAAAAATTAAAAGTGCAAATAGCTACTGTTGCAAAACTGAACCACCCACAATGTAGGTTTGAATACTTTTGCTTTTTGTTAAATTTAAAAAAAAAAAATAAATAAAAGTTGTAGACTTGTAAACAAATTGTTCAAATAAAAGGAGCAAGATTCATGATAGAAAAGATTGTTTGCATACCAAAAAGAAATAATATGGTGAGAAATGTTTCAAAGTCTTCTGTCAATTCTTGAAGAAGTGTGTGTGTGTGTGTGTGTGTGTGTTTTGGAGGAGGTGGGTAAATATTTAATAAGCTTAATGGTTGCTGGACTGCTTACATCTGCAGAAAGACCTTTGTATTGATTTGTGTTATCTTTCTTACCTATTTACTCTTATTTTTATATAAACAAAATATGTAACTTTAAAATGGTTTCATTATATTATTTCTTTATCTGATTGTTTCTGTGAAGTTACTCTTTTCAGAAATAACATCTTTGTACGGGTCTGTGCAAAATGCTAAGCATTATTGCTGAAATAATGCAGACAAACATCACTGTAATAAATGACTATTACAGTGACTGACTGAAACGAAAGAATTTAAAGTAGTGTCTTGGCACCTGTGTGTAATTAATGATTATTAATATCCAGAGGAGTTGAGGATGCTGCTTTTCTATGAACTTATGGCGACAATTTCACTGTCTTCCTCTCTGGGTCCTTATTCTTGTAAACTTTCTGAAGTAGACAAGTCTTTGCTACGCTCTGTTTAAGTTAATGATATTTATCAGGTAACATCTTCAGTATTCTGCAGGTGGTTGTTATCATTAAATGTTATAGAGGAAATTAAATTTTGTGTAGGTATGTGGGTGTGTTTTTTTTTTTAAATTGTTCATGTGTTTCCCCAGTAATTCCGACGGACATATTTCTCTACTTGATCTCTTCCTTATTTCCACTCCCTGACTCCTGAAAAAAGTGGGGGGGTCTACAGACAAGCAGGAAAGCAAGAAGCAGTAGATGTCGGTAATCTCTAGAACCAAATTTGTAAGAGGATATACAGGTTCTCATTCTTTCAGCAAATAGATAAGAATGGCAAAGCTTGGCCTGTGACTCTAGTTATCTCAAAGGCATTCGACAGGGTTAGGCATGCTGGCTTCTACATACTTTCAAGGACTATGGTATCAAGGGACAAATATTGTTCCTAACAAATCATGTAATAAAAGCCATACTTCCAGATCATTTCATACTAACACAGAGGTCCCTCAGGGCTCTATCCTTAAACTTACAGGGGCAAGAAATGGTCAGAATAAAACAGCTTTCATGTAATCACCATGGAGAACCTTTTCTGCTTGCCATTACCTTCTTGGATTCACATTTTCCCCTGACTTGAAGTAGAATGATTATATTGAATCAATTGCTGCATCTACTGCAAGGAAAGTTGGTTCACTGTCTCATGCCTGAAAATTTTTCTCATTAGAATCCTTCCTGCACATTTATAAATCTTCAATTCGTCCGTGCAACGAATATTGCTACCATGTCTGGTTTGGTGCTCCTACTATATATCTTTAGATTCTTGACAAAATCCAAAGAAGGGTCTGTAATGTAATTGATCTCAACTTCAGTCATTTTCTCACCGACATAGCATGAATTCCCTCTGTCTTTTCTACAAATATTTTCTTGACTTCTGTTCTGATGAACATTTCTCTTTCATGTTTTGACTGCATGAATTTAAGTGTGCTACTAGACTGGCAACTCTGACTCACTGTTTTGTTGTTGAACTAGCTAGATGCAACTGCCACTTTTATTCTAACAGTTTCTTTTCTCACACTTCACACCTGTGGAACTCTTTTCCGATTTCTTGCTACCTTACCACTTACAACTTTCAAAAATTTAAATGCAGTATCAGTCACCATCTTCTGTCTTCTTGAACTCTGTTCCTTTATTGCATTTTCTCACTTCTCATTAAAGTATTCTTGCTCTCTTTCACTCCCTGTAACCCTGTGTGCCCTAGAGACATTAAATTGATTAAAAACAAAAAGAAAATCCTAATTCTCTATGGTGGAGGAGAAAACAAATGTCTTCTTTCTTGCTGCTGATAATAGAAGATTTTTTTTCTTTTTTTTTTTTTCTAAAGCAAAAATTTTTACAGCTTCTTTTATTTTTGGAACTTTTTTCCTTCTTA